CGAGACAGATAATTGCTAATCGCATTTTTGGTTTCCAGTTTTCTTCCAAAACTTCGATTTTGGAGGGATGTACCGAAGATGTGTGTTTTTTTTTTTTTTGCCCGAGCGTTTTTTACCCAAAGGATCTGATTGATTTGAGAGAGAGAGAGAGAGAGAGAGAGAGAGAGAGAGAGAGAGAGAGAGAGAGAGAGAGAGAGAGAGAGAGAGAGAGAGAGAGAGAGAGTGAATATATTTTATGGTGTATTAAAGTATGAGGCCTTCGTGGATAAGTGGTAACGCTCGCGATTTTGATTCGTAAGGTCGAGGGTTCGAGGCCCGCCACGGTCTGAGGTTCGAGAGGACATTCACTCAGGACAGCGGTCACACATGCCAAAGCCGTAGTCCTCCAAAAGAAGACACGGTCCTAGCCCTTAGTAGAAAGGGGAATCCGTGTAAAACCCATCACATTATAGTATAGTCAACGGGAACTGTGGTAGCCGAGTGGTTAGATAACTCAACTCGATATTTGACAGACCCGCGATCGAGCCTATGATAATAGAAATATTACTGAAGTTCTATCTAATTATCTAATAAAAGTTGTGTATTCATTTATATTGAATGATATAAATTCCAAGACTTACATCGTGTAGAGTTGCCCAAATCTACCTTCCTTGTCATGAATGGTAACTTGATACTCTAGTCTATACTAAAACCCCACAGATTAGTCCACTGTAGCACAGTGATTGTTAAAAGAGAGGGAATTGAAACATCTACTGATGTCGCACAGAGGGTAGCGATTGCGATCATTGATATCCGTTTTACCCCCTCCCCAACCCACTAGTGGTCAGCGCACACATTTCATTCTCCTCCTCATCAACCAAGGCTGAGATCGATTTTTATAAGAACCAAAAAGTATCTGAATTCCAGATCAAAACTTAGCACGAGGGTCTGCCCCTCTCTTTTTTTTATCTCTTACTTTATTTAATTTTCGTGCTTTTCCCTCCAATTCCCTTATATCCTTAATCCCATCCCCTTTTTCTCCTCCTATCCTATCCCATAAAAAAAAAAAAAACAAGGCTTCGATTGTATATATAATGTATATTTTCTTCTTTTCAGGTAAGCATGATCAGGTGTTTTCCACGTATAATATCGAAGTTTTTACGAGGCATCGGTAAGTACAGTAAATATATATATATCTGAATAAGCAAGTCATTCAATATGGAAATTAACTATATGATAGCTTATGGCAGGTCAACAAAATCAGTGAGTATTTTATTAGATGTATGCGGTAAGTAGTGGAAAGGTATCTTTCAAGAGATTAAGGATCAGTGAACATACTTCTTTGTTTTCTTCAGTTAATTGATGATCATAACTTAATACCTTATTAATGTCAAATATTACGATTTCGATATTTTTTCGGTAACATTTTCAAAAGCATTGCGATGTACTGTACAGTTGACTAGAGAATTTTCTTCATACCCGTTTACCTTTATCTGTTCACTGTAAAAGATGGTAATGCACAGTATAATTGTTTATACGTATTTAATAGTATGTATAGGTCTGTATATGTAAATAGATAATAGATTTTACGTGTTCTATGGAAAAATTTATTGCTACATGCATACATACATACATACATACATCCGTAGATAGGTACTTACATTTATCTTTATTTTTTTTTCAAGTAGGCCTTGAATATTGCTCTATATAAGTACTAATGTCTTTGTGTGTTTGCTGGCCAAAGGCTTTTCTCGGCATCTTGGCCTTAAGTTTTACTTACTGACTATACTTGCGAAATGCTGCAGGTGATATGCACATTTCCTTTGTAGAGGCATTTTTATTTCATATTCTCCATATCCTTATTAGGTCTCTTCCGCTACCCATTTGCCTCTCTCTCATTTGTATATTTTTTTGTTTTAATATTCCTTTTCATCCTGCCCATTTTCCACTACCTTTAACGCGTACGAGTCTTCCCTCCCTTAATATCCTCCCAATATGCTCCCATTTCCTATTTGCCTTCGGTTCCCATTTCTTCCCTTCATTCGTTCATTTCTCCCAATTTTAGTGTTGTCTCTCTTTTTTAACTTGACCGTTTTACTCTTTTTCAGCTTCAGTTCCTCTCTCTCTCTCTCTCTCTCTCTCTCTCTCTCTCTCTCTCTCTCTCTCTCTCTCTCTCTCTCTCTCTCACACACGCACATGCACGCACTTATGTGCGCGCGCACACACACACACACACTTATGCGCGCGCGCACACACACACACACACACACACACACACACACACACACACACACACACACACACACACACACACACACACACACACACACAGCTATAATCCAGGAGGAGCGGGTTCCTTTGATAAGGTTGTTTTATAATCGCGAGGATCCCGTCGAGTTAAGAGCCAAGGGAGGGCTTTCATTTTGAAGGGGAAAGGGACTCCCATTCAGAGGGGGGGGGAGCGTTTTGGAAGGGAAAGATCTTCCATTTGGAAGGTTGAGAAGATTCCATTTTGGTAGAG